ATTCAATAGCTCAAATCAAATTCTAATTGGGCTAATTAAATTAAATTAAATTGACTTCTATGATCCAATTAATTAAATCGGCCCAATCATCAATCTCGACGTCAGCCCAATAACAATTTTATCCGTCTATTTATCGGGTTCAATTTTTCTGTGTCTACAACTACAACCTTCGAATTCTTTTGAGATGATGTCATACACATCTCTTGCAATAGTTATCTTTCCAATCCCGCTCATCCCAAGTATTCCAACAAAACGAACTTCATTAGACCCCAAGCCTATCAATCGATACAATTTCTGCATACGTTTCTCCATCCCAACCAGTTTTGGATCATCAATTGACCTCGTTGAACCCAATTTAGTAACGATATCTTCAACAGTTTTCTGGATGAACTTTGCTTCATGCCTATATACATCACAATAAAACACAGCATGTACAAGTCATAAATTAATTAAAAACACAAATTAATGCACGTTTTTCAGTTGGATGACTTGATAATAAGACCCAACCATGGTTGAAAACATGACTGATAAGACCCAAGTCACCCAACTCAAATTGATTTTTGATTTAGGCTCTTTGAAAACCTTGAAAATATTTTTTGGAAAATGATTTTCAGAAAACGACTCAGTTTCATAAAATATTTTAACTTTTTAGTGTTTGGCTGAAGGTAGAAAATTGTCTTTTTTTTTTTATTTGTTATAAATTTATAATAATAATAATAATAATAATAATAATAATAAGTAGAAGAAGAAGAAGTTGCAGAAGTAGTGTTGGTGTTGGTGATGATATGGTGGTATTCGTTGTGGGTGCTGGTGGTGTGGTAGTGGGGGTTTGGATGCAACCTTGAAGCGGATAGTGTGAAGGCCCTCGAACTCAATATTTGGATTCTATTTTGCACAATCACCATTGAAACAAGCGGCTTGGTGAGATCAATCTCCACCGCTGCTCGCGCAAACCGACCCCTCTCCACTTCGGCCGTGGTGCGATCTAGTTTGACAGGGTTACCAACATGGTCTAAGATGAGTTTGATGACGTCCTCGCGGAAATACTCGAGCGGTAATCCCGGAAGCCTCACCCACACTGTCATCTTCTCCACGGCGGCTTTAGAGGGATCAAAGCCCGGTTTCCATCATTGCGGCACATCGAAGAATTTCCAAGGGCCACCAATGAGAAGTTTCAAGCAATCTTTAGCCAAGTTGAATCTAGCCACATACCAGTTGAAACCCAGGTCGATCATCTACATTTTTCCCTCCAGCTCAGGTTCCACATTCTAGAGAGGCGGTGGAGAAGGACCCATAAACTTGAGCGTTAAAGCGTTTCTCCAAACTATCGAGATTCACTAGGATGTCATCTTGGAACCAGCAAGCGTTGCCGTCCTCCTCTATGGTGTCGCAGCCAAACCTGGGGAGCGGATGAGATTGTATCTGCGAATGTGCGCTTGGTCGCCCTAGGCTTCTTGGAGGTGCGATCAGGTTCCCCATCTGGCGAGAGACCCGTCCTCGTAGCTGGTCCGCCGAACTTTGCATGGGGAATAGAAAAGCTTGGGAGATGGAATGATCCAACGTCAAACAGGCAGAGAGAAGGCTAAGCGAAGTTCCAGGTGAAAATTGATACATTGAGTGTTCCTTAACTACTTTGATTCCCGACCCTATTACCCCACAGCTGCAATAAAACATCTATATGTCTCTGTAACGTTATGCTTTTATTCAATTTCTATTTTAGTTGGTTTTTGATCAAGAATTATACCATTGTTACTCAAGAACTATATGACTGTTAAAATTTAATTTGCATCTATGTATTGACTATATTTTTTAATGCTTAATCCTGATATTTTCTACTCGTCAATGTTGTGAAAAAAAAAAATGTCCAATAAACAAAAGATGTACATCTTAGGCAGTATGTTCTGCTATTTGGTTTGTTTCTTAAATCCTCTATTCCTATCTTGTTTATTTTACTCAATAGTTGTGTTGAAAATGTTTGTAGTAAAGTGTGATAGATATTAATGTGTTGACAGCGTTGAATATTGATTATATTGCTGGAATGTATTGGGAAAAATTGACAGTTTTATCAAATAAATAATTTTTTTTTTTAAAAGGACAACCTGCATCTGTTTTCCTAGTAAGGAACAAACGCAGATCGTCAAGGCATGAATTTTTTATTTTAAAAATAACAATTTGCGTCTGATCCTAGAAGGATCAGACGCACGTCCCTTTCACCTCAGGCGCTGATTGTTCAACCAATCTGCGTCTACGGTATATGCGTATGGTGTACATCACATTCAGATTATCATTTACTTCAGACGCATGGCAGATGACTCATTCTGTACTAGTGTATGACGCTATAGTGTTTTTTTTTTTTTTTTTAAATAGAGTATAGGCGCCTATAGTGTTTATTTAAAAAAAAAAAAAAAAAAAAAAAACAGACTATAGGTGTTGTTATCTTCATGATAAAGATGCCTATTATATGAATTTATGAGTATTTACAATAAAGTCGCGTAAAGTTTTCATTCTTTTTGCGTTTATAGTATGTGTCTTGAGCAATAAAGATGCATATTATCATTTAATAAAGATGAAAATGATTTATTTTCGTACTAGTGCATGTATACTCGTACAAAAGAGCAACCAGATTGTCTAATGAGCTGATAATGCGATGCTCTATGCATAGCTCCTCCGGGCAAGGATCGTGGAGGTCCACCTCGGCATCAGAGTCTAATCGAGAGAGAACAATGACTCATAATTCAATGACTAGTAGCACAAATACGTACGGCATATATAGCTAATTCATGGTTCTCGTTGAGGATTGAGGTAGAACTGGATGTATCCTTGCGTGATTAGTAGTATCGAATCATTCCGATTATAGTAAAGTAATAAACATAAGAATATCGAGTAAAGAGAAAACAAATATAGAGCAAAATTATTAGTCTTTTATTAATCATCATTTTTTTTTATTATAAGGAAGGGGGATACCCTACATACACACACTATTGCCTCAACTGAAGTTTGAACCTTACACCTCCCACTTAGGGGAGCAATTTGATACTAGTGGACTACAAGCCACTTGGTTTTATTAACCATCATTCATTCCTATATATATATATATATATATATATATATATATATATATATATATATATATATATATATATATATATATATATATATATATATATTTATTTATTTATTTATTTATTTATTTATTTATTTATTTATTTAGAACAATAATAAAATTTTCAAAAGAGTTAATTTTTAAATTGATCACTCAACTTTTGAAATTTTAATTTTTCTCTAAAATTTATCAATAATTTTGCGATTTTCCTAATGAATGACCAAATTGAATATAAAATGAATATTTAATGAACTCAAATAGATAATATTTACCATGCAAATTGTTAAATTTAAAAATTATTTTTTAAAAAAAATATTACAATGAACATAGATGTTATACCCAAAAATTCCATACTAAAAGCTGCGAGCAAATAAAAGCGGTAGTGCAAAGCAAATAACAAAAGAACTTCCAAAGAAATTAAACATGTTTCTTTGGTGGAAGTGGAAATAAGTGGAAATAAGTGGAAATAAGTGAAAATCATCATGTGTTATTTTTTCTTATTGACACCGTATGATGGATCTCGTGATGATTGTAAGAAATTAAACAAGGAAAATGCTATTTTCCCTACTAATTTTTCATTCTTGATGTGATTTATATTTGTATCCATAAATTAGTTGACAACGTAACACTCTTTTGTAATTAAATATTAAATAGTGTTACATGAGGGAATTGAACATTAGAAAGAAAGTTCTAGAAAACGTTTGCAGCATCACTCATTTTTACATAATCAATACTTGGTGGAGACAATGTTATTTTGTATCATTAGCGGTTCATCACTGATTTTAACATCATCCTCGTACACAAGGCGCATTCCAATACCAGTAAATACCGAATCGCAATTACCAGAAACTTTAATTTGACACCATTCATTACAATCATCAAAGAACTGATAGGACAAGCAAGTGATCTCAGATTTCATATTCTCTTTAACCCCATGATAGCCCATAGCTGATATAATATGCCTATGACGACCATCATGAGTTGTGGGAATGATTTCAAGACTATGTCCATAGTTTTTAGCTACACTCCAAAATTTCCCACATGTTGTAGTAATCACATTAGAGACCCCACAGAATGCAAATCCCTTGAATTTGTTATTGTACCAATTTTGAGGCAGGCTAACTGATAGTGAATTTCCCCAATTTTTATACGTAAACCACTCAGGAAACACCATGATGCCAGGAAAGTAGACACTAATGTAGTGATTTGAGTTTGATAGTCCCTGTGCCACCCACAATACGTGCAGTTAATAGTTTAATTTGTATGTGTGAAACATGCATATATGGCCATATACAACTAATTAAAAAGCTAAGCTAGCTTTAATTTATGCGGGCATGCATGATAAGGATACATGGATTGTAATGAGTTACGTACCTTGAGTAGGTGTTTCCATATTGCATCAACTATGTAACCGTAACATGGATCCTCAAGTAGTTGAGGACATCTAGTGAATGAAACACAACTCAACATTGGGTATTTAGTCAATGAATCTATGTTGCAGCCTTCTAAGCTGGGGCATTCATCTGCATAAACCTGTATTATACTAGATGGAAGCTCTGGCAAACGTTGAAGCCTCCCACATCCCACTAGATGAAGTTCCGTAAGTTGAGTGAGGCCGGCAAAGGATTCAGTTGGGATACAACCAAACTTGTTGTTGCTAAGATTCAGTACTTTCAAACAATGAAGCTCTCCAAGATCACGAAGAATAATGCCTCCATCTAGAATACTACAATCACTAAGATTCAACATTTGCAGTGAAGATAACCCAGATAGAGAAGGAAACGGTGAAGCCTTGATATCTTGAAAAGCTCCTGCTGGCAGCAGCCTAGAGAGGAACGAACAACTTTTTTGTAATGGAGAAGCCAGAGGTTTACATCCACAAAATGATAAAATCTTGAGTTTCTTGAGAAGTGAAATGGAGGATGGTAGCTCTTGGATCGCTGTCTTGTCACAGTACAGCTCTTCTAAGCATTCCATTTCTCCCAATTCATCTGGTAATTTCTCAAACTTGGAACAACCAGAGAGAATCACAACTTTCAGACTTTTCAATCTACAAATGCTACTTGGAAGGCTTGCAAGATGTTTGCAATTGCTTACATCTATTAACCTCAGGTTTGTGATGCACTCGATTGATGATGGCACTTCTCTTATAGCAGTAGCCTCAGCATGTACTTCTAACAAGCAATCCATGGGAGATGCAATTTTTGGAAAATTTTCAAGTTTCAAGCAGCCTGAAAGGATCATTGTCTCCAGCTTTTCAGAATGAATGCTTTCGGGAAGCCTCTTTAGATTTACACAGCGCTTAATGTTAAGTGAAACAAGGTTCTTGAGAAATCCAGCAGAAGCATGGATCTCTACCAAACTTGTACACTGTTCTAGAATCAATGTTTCAAGATTTGGGATTCCTGTGAAATCTGGAGTCCTAATTAATTTCTGAGAGTGGCTCAGATTCATGAATTTCAAATAGTCCAGGACCTGTACGTAGAAGTGAGACATATATATTTAAAAGAAATAATAATTAAGAATCCTTAGCTACAGCCATGATATGAATAAAATTAAAGCAAAAAAGAGATATATCAGAGACAAATAACATATAAATAGTTAGATATGATAAACCTTGAATCCTTTCCAAAGTTGTATGATACGGCTGGATTGCATTTTAAGAGAAACAAGTTTTTGTCCCTGGAAAGTAGCAGGCAAACTTTTTGAAGGATATCCATGCCAATCTAGCCACCTTAACTCGCCAGGGAGAAAATTAGGGGCATGAGAAGCATTTGCATTGTGAAATTTGAGAAGTCTTAGCTTGGTCATGTGTGTGAAGGCCTCACTACTAACTTTCACATCTGTTGCAACCTTCAAGTTGAATGCTATACCTTTGATGTTTTCTGTACCCTGACAATATAATATTTCACAAGAAAACAATTAAATTCTTAAAAATGAATTGTATAAATTAATTAAATTAAGGGATTCGATTGATGGATATCTATATGATCTCTTGTTTATATATACTATACTATATGTACCTCACTTCCGGTAAGTAGTTGAGAAATATCCTGAGGTAGCCACAACCTGCTATATCTTTTTGGATCATCTGAAGCTTCTTGGCGAACAATAGACCACCCCATTTCTTGTAATAATTGATGCATCAAAACACGACCTTCTGAAATAGTTATTAGAGATTTCTCTCTAAGAACCTTTATGCCAATGTCAGAGTGGAAGTCGAAACTATTAAGTATTCTTGTTATGGATGCTTTCTTCTTCCCATTAAAGAAGCATGCAATGTCTAAGAAAACTCTTTGTGTATTTTTGTTGAGACTAATGAAACCCAATTTAAGTTTCTCTAAAATCTCATCTTCTGGGATTTCCTTAAGTCGGGCAACTTCACTTCTCCATTCATCAATATCTCTGCCATATAGGAGAGACCCAAAAACTTTAAGAGCCAACGGAAGGCCTCCAGCATAGTGTACCACTTGAGCTTCGAGCACCTCAAATTCCTTGGTAGGTAGCAACGGTAGCTGTTTATTAAATGCATGCTGCCTAAAGAGTTGAAAGCTTTCAGCTTCCTCTAGCACTCTCATTTTGTAGTATTTCATAATGTTCACTTTATGGCTAATAAGCAAGTGCTTATCCTTGGTTGTTATGATGATTCTACTTCCAGCACCGAACCAATCACTGTTTCCAGCCAATGATTCCAATTGATCCCTGTGATCAACATCATCAAGCACAATAAGCACTCTTTTGCAATGCAGCCTTTGCCGTATCATCATTTTTCCTTCAAACACATTGTCTATTTTCAAATCTTTTACTGAAAGAATCTTAGATACAAGTTTCTGTTGCAAGTGCACCACACCATGTTTGCCTGACTCACTTCTAACTTCATGAATAAAACTACAACCTTCGAATTCTTTTGAGAACTTCTCATACACAGATCTTGCAATAGTTGTCTTTCCAATCCCGCTCATCCCATGTATTCCAATAAAGCGAACCTCATTAGACTCTAAGCCTATCAATCGATACAGTTTCTGCATACGAGCCTCTATCCCAACCAGTATCTGATCATCAATTGTCCTTGTTGAACCCATTTTAGTAATGATATCTTTAACAATTCTCTGGATGAACTTTGCTTCATGCCTATATATATTACAATAAAACGCACCAAGTACAAGTCATAAATTAAAAACACAAATTAACACTACTGGAAATTATGAAATTTCCAACCACCTGAAAGTGATCTTAAATCAAGTTGAAAGCAAAAAGTGGTCGGAAATAGCAACAACGATTTTTCCGGATGCTAAAAGTGGTCGAAATAAAGCTTTCGGCTTGATTTAAGATCACTTTCAGGTGATCGAAAATTTTATAATTTCTAGTAGTGTAATACACGTTTTTCAGTTGGATGGCTTTACCCCTAAACATAAGCATAGCATGCAACTTCATGTGGGTAAAGTTCAAAAACATGTATCCACAGTAATATCATATTGAAAAAGTCATTGTCTAACTTGTCTTCTTAGTTCAGTTTACATATTGAAAACATGACTTGGTAAGACCCCAGTCACCCAACTCAAATTGATTTTGGATTTAGGCTCCTTGAAAACCTTGGAAATATTTTAATTTTTTAGTGTTTGGATGAAGGTTAAAAAAATTATCTTTTTTTTTTTTATTTGAGTAAAAGTTAAGAAATTACATTTTTTTGTTTGATTCATTTTTCAAAAAATAAACATATTATTTGTTATAATAATAATAATAATAATAATCTAATATATACATATATATATATATATATACATATATATATATATATATATATATATATATATATATATATATATAAGAGCCCAAGAGAGTTAGGCCTATAATAGGTAGAAAAAATGGCGGTCAAATTTTTTAATCAAATGAATGGCTTAGATTGATTTAGATTTTAATTTTTCCTTAAGATTTCCTAATTTATCCCTAATGAATATGATTATCCGTTAACTTTTCCGTTAAATATTATCTTTTCTGTTAATTTCTATAAGTTCACCGTTAACTTACTCATTGATTTCAATAAGAAACGTCTTAGGTTCGAACCTCATCTCAATCAAAGTTGGCATAATTAGTACTCTATTTTATTCTTATTAAATTAAATAATAATAATAATTTAGTAGCTACAACAAAAAATAATACATATGCATTTCTTTAATTTAGAATTATGTGTCTACAATGTCTTTATTGAAAAAAAAATTATTCATTATCAATAAATTAAATAATAGAAATAAGTTCTTTAGTTATATTGTATTTATTTTTCTCCAATATAAAAATTTTTTACATTCAAATTAATCAATTGATTATATTCGCTACATTGTCCCTACAATGTCTTTATTAAAAAATGTTATTCATTATCAATAAATTAATTAAGAGAAAAAATTTTATTAGTTATATTGTCTTTATATTTTTCCAATGTAAAAATTCTTTACATTCAAATTCATCAATTGATTATATTCACTGCATTGTCTATTATCTTTTTTTGTGAACTATTTTAATTCTTTACATTCAAATTCATCAATTGATTATATTCACTTCATTGTCTATTACCTATTATGTGCACTATTTTTTAATTTAATATCAAAGTTATAATACAAAATAATGCTATATATTTATTTACCAAGTATTTTATTAATACCACAAAAAAATTAAAAAATATATAATTAATAAAGCCAATCATATTAACTACTTGAGGGATTTGTTGACAAAGAGATTATTCAAATCACACAACAAATTGAAGTGAGAACTACCTCGCAATGTCCTTGTTTAACAATCAGTAGCTAGCGGTTAGCGTTAGCAGATTATATTAGCGAATTTGACCAGCGAATTATATCAATTGATGGTAAAAAGATATTTAAAAAAATTAACTGTTTAGATTACCATGTAAAATGACCTAAGGGTATACATATATTTAATAATAATAATAATAATAATAATAATAATAATAATAATAATAATAATAATAATAATAATAATAATAATAATAATAATAATAATAATAATAATAATAATAATAATAATAATTGTTTTAAAAAAATAAAAAAAAATAAAAAAATATAATTAAGCCAATCATATTAACTACTTGGGGGATTTATTGACAAAAAGAATATTCAAGTCACACAACAAATTGAAGTAAAAAACTATCTCGCAATGTCCTTGTTTGGCAATCAGCAGTTAGCTCTTCAATATTAATATATATTTAATATTTTATGCCATAATTTTTATTTGCTTTCCCTTATGTCCCGTATTTGGTTTTAACCATACCTATACAATTATTTTATTGACAATTATAATCAATCTTGATTATATTATCTTGCATTTGTAAACTTAGAATTGCCTATTTAAATACGCAAATTTAACATTAAATTATCTATGCATGAACAATTCCAATATAATCTTGCCTTGATATACTTTAAAGTACTTATTTACAAAAAAATATTGGGCATTATCTCAATCGCGCAATGCGCGTAAAAAACTAGTTTACTAATAAGAGCCCAAGAGATTAGGCTTATAATGAGTATAAAAAATGGCGGTCAAATTTTTTAATCAAATGAATGGCTCAGATTGATCAGATTTTAATTTTTCCTTAAGATTTTCTAATTTATCCTTAATGAATATGATTATCCGTTAACTTTTCTGTTAAATATTATATTTTTCGTTAATTTCTGTCAGTTCACCGTTAACATACTCATTGATTTCAATAAGAAAGGTCTTAGGTTCGAACCCCATCCCAATCAAAGTTGGCATAATGAGTACTATATTTTACTCTTATTAAATTAAATAATAATTTAGTAGTTACAACAAAAAATAATACATATGCATTTCTTTAATTTAGAATTATGTGTCTACAATGTCTTTATTCAAAAAAATTATTCATTATCAATAAATTAAATAAGAGAAATGATTTCATAGTTATATTGTCTTTATTTTTCTCCAATATAAAAATTCTTTACATTAAAATTTATCAACTGATTATATTCGCTACATTGTCCCTACAATGTCTTTATTATAAAAAAAATTTATTCATTATCAATAAATTAATTAAGAAAAATAATTTTATTAGTTATATTGTCTTTATTTTTCTCCAATGTAAAAATTCTTTACATTCAAATTCATCAATTGATTATATTCACTACATTGTCAATTATCTTTTTTGTGCACTATTTTTAAATTAAATATCAAAATTATAATACAAAATAATGCTATATATTTATTTACCAAGTATTTTATTAATACCATGAAAAAATTAAAAAAATATATAATTAATAAAGCCAATCATATTAATTACTTGATGGATTTGTTGACAAACAGATTAGAGTATTCAAATCACACAACAAATTGAAGTGAGAACTACCCGCAATGTCCTTATTCGACAATTAGCAGTTAGCGGATTATATTGGCGGATTTGACCAGCGAATTACATCAACGATTGGTAAAAAGATATTTGAAAAAAATTAGTTGTTTAGATTAACATGTAAAATGACCTAAGGGTATACATAATAATAATAATAATAATAATAATAATAATAATAATAATAATAATAATAATAATAATAATAATAATAATAATAATAATAATAATAATAATAATAATAATAATAATAATAATAATAATAATAATAATAATAATAATAATAATAATAATAATAATAATAATAATAATTGTTTTTAAAAAGTAAAAAAAAATATAATTAAGTCAATCATACTAACTACTTGGAGGATTTATTGACAAAAAGAGTATTCAAATCACACAACAAATTGAAATGAGAAACTACATCGCAATGTCCTTGTTTGGCAATCAGCAGTTAGCTCTTCAATATTAGTATATATTTACTATTTTATGCCCTAATTTTTATTTGGTCTCCTTGGTTTCAAGCATACCTATACAATTATTTTATTGACAATTATAATCAATCTGACTATATTATCTTGCATTTGTAAACTTAGAATTACCTCTTTAAATACGCAAATTTAACATTCAATTATCTATGTATGAACAATTTCAATATAATCTTGTTTTGATATACTTTAAAGTACTTATTTAAAAAAAAAAAAGTATATTGGGCATTATCTCAATTGCGTAATGCGCGTAAAAAATTAGTAATAATAATAATAATAAGTTGTGGAGGTAGTGTTGATATTGGTGATGGTATGGTGGTATTAGTGGTGTGGTAGTGGTGGTTTGGATGCAACCTTTAATTTGCCTATATAATTTAATCCTCTCCTTAATTACAGCAAAAACTTTCAGATCAATGATTTTGATTCATTTTAATACTACTTTGGGTGCAAACTTTGCCAATCTATATTATTGCAGATCCAAAGGATTAGACTTAGATTAAAGCTAAGGAAAACACCAGTGATCTGATCTGAGTATGAACATATAGAGTTTAGGTTATTTACCAATTTTCAGTGTTGTCCAGATCCATCCCAACATAACAAATTGGATACATTCTCCAATTTTTAGTGTTACTCTAAAATTGATAATTTACTACTAAAATGTAAAATATTACTTGAAATCCCAACAGAAAATTAAAAATGGATCAAACTTGAATTAATTGGCTTATACCGAGCATAAATAATCATTTGATCGAAAAGAAAACAATTGATTTTCTTTTTATGAAATAATATTTAATAAAAAAAACAAATTGAATTTTAAAAATAAATTTCATTTGTGTGTGGGGGTGTAGGGGTGATCAAGGTTCGGTGTTCGAACCGTAACCGTTACTGTGCTAATCGTAACCGAACCGGTACCGTTCGTACGGTTCCGGTTCCGGAAACTCCGGTTATAGAAAATTTGAAAATGGAACCGCCAGTTCCGGTTTGGAACCGTGAATATTTTTTTTTTTTTAAATGGCGACTAGGCCACTTTTGCCACGTACAACAAACAACATAACAATATAACATATGCAACAAACAACATAACATATAATTTATTAAAAAAAACGGTTAGAACTGAAACTGCCGATTCAAGAACCGGAACCGAAACGGTATATTACGGTTCCGGTTCCGATTCGTCTGTTTCCAGAACCGGAACCGACCGTTCCGAACCAAAACCGTGGTCACCCCTAGTGGGGTGGAGGGGGTTAGAGTTGAAGATTTACCCATTTTCAGTGTTGTTCAGATCCCAACCCGACAAATTGGATACATCCTCCAGCACTTTCCTCCATTTCTTCACCTTTTCTCCTTCTTTCTCAAAGCTCTTCTCGTGTCCTTCAAAGGCTTCTCCATACTTTCCCTTCTGTTTCCTCACAGTCGAAGGATCCACGCCATAGAAAATGGGAACAACCGTCTGACCTTTTACCTTCATACACTCCATGATTTTCACCAGTTCCTCCAAACACCATGAAGAATCAGCGTAGTGCTCGGAGAAGACGACGACCGCCATGGACGATTCTTCAATTGCCTTCTCAAGTGCGGGCGAGATGGACTTTCCCCTTTCCAGCTTCTCCTCGTCTTTGAAAGTGTAAATCCCTCTTTGCTGCATCGCAGTGTAGAGATGGTCAACGAAATTCTTGCGAACGTCTTCTCCTCTGAAACTCAAGAAAACATCATAGGTGGAACCACATGAAGACACAAAAGAAGGTTGCTCCATTGCAATGGTGAAGAAAGCTATGGCAGCAAAACTGGATTTGCTGTACGCAACTCAATGCACTATGCGCAATAACTAATGTGCACAAAAACTAAATAAATAAAGAATCAAAGAATCCATTAAACTTTACTGTATAAAAAGCTGCATGCGCTCGCTACATTTTCTAAAGGGGTTTTCTTTTACTCAATTATTTCAAAGATGACAATGAGTTTATAACTATTATATTGTGATCTAGTCCCACCAATAAAAGAAATAAAATAAAATAAAGGGAACTCCGTGGATACCCAATGGTGAAGAAAGTTATGGATTCAAAACTGGATCTGCAGTACGCAACTCAATAATGCACTATGCGCAATAACTAATGTGCAAAAAACTAAATAAATAAACACCGGCCTGAATTTTTTAGGGCATGATTAAAAGCTGTATAAAAGCCGCATGCGCTCGCTACATTTTCTAAAGGGGTTTTCTTTTACTCAATTATTTCAAAGATGACAATGAGTTTATGACTATTATATTGGCGATCTAGTCCCACCAATAAAAAAAAATTAAAAATTAAAAATTAAAAAAAAAAAAAGGAACTCCGTGGATAGCGCGCCATGGACGACGAAAGAATAAATAAAGTATTTGATTTTAATAAATGATACAAATACTATAAAAAGCTGTGCTTAATGAATGATGATACAGAACATATTACTATTTGAGAATTCTATTTGCACCACTCTAATTGCTATTTACACCACATATTTAATGAGTGTGATAACTTTTATGTGGTGTAAATAGAAAATTGCTATTTGCACCATCTTCATTAATTTTAGTTAAATATTATTTTTTAATAAATATTTATTATAAATGACACTTTTTCCCCTTAGATATATGCTTTTAACACCTTTTCCCTCTTACTTATTCATGTATCTACATTTGCCTCCTAGTTATATTAAAAGTGGCATGTTTTCTTCCTTTTTATGTTTGATAGACATTTTTACCCTTAAAACTAAATATTTCATTTATTTTTTCTTCTCCAACAAATTATTCTTCCAAAAAGTTGAACCCCAACCCTAAGGGCAAAGAAATTCTCCAACAAATTATTGTTTATATGTACGGATGGTCACGATTCAGTTCAAACAATTTTTTTTTTATTTTATTGCCAGTTCAAAATTTATTTATTTATTATAAATTTTATTTCTTATTTGTTTTAAAAAATAAATTTAATAATTATTTTATTGTATTTTATTTGTTCGATTCTGAATCGTAAGTGTTGGTTTTAGGGTTTTTGGGCCCAGGGAGGTCCAACACAACCTTAGTTGGTGGATTCACCTTTCAATAAAGCTTAAGAAGAATGCGGTAGCAAGAATGGCGTCTCTCTATTATCTGGGCATGGACTCGCCTGTTTTACATTCACGGAGGGCGGCCCTTTATATACTAGGCCCTCCTCTACCGAGTTAAAGCTCATTTAAAGGCTACTTTAAGACTACTTATGTTTTGGGCCGTTGAGTGGCGTTACCAGGCCGTCCAACGGCTCTCTCGAACTCTTAACGACTTGCTTGGTCGAGTCTCTTAACTGCGGCTATAAATGCTAGGCAACGGATCTCTGCCGAGTCGCCGCTTGGGCCTGGGCCGACTCCTGGGCTCGGCCCTGGCCTTGCTGGGCCCCATAAACCTCTTACCCACTGGGTCGTGCCTTAAATGCTCTGGGCTTCTTCCGCTACTTATGGACTCTATCTCTTGGGCTTTGTTCTTCTTGGGCTGGGGTCCCTACCCCATCAGTAAGCAAAGCCAAAGGGAGTTTTTTTTTTTTTTTTTTTTTTTTTTTTTTTTTTTTTTTTAATCTGCAATCACACGTGTTATATATTACTCTTCCGAACTTCATTCCAGTTAAAAATGGGGAAAAAGTATTGATTTCTTAGGCTTTCGCAGTCATATTGAAGTTGACAACCCATTACGTTCCAATGTCATTTTGGAGTGTGATTTTATATCTAAGATTATATTTGATTTCTCTCTTTTTGAGGAATGCACATCTTCATTAGAGGACATATATACTAGTAATCTACAATTACTTTGATTTAACATCAATTGGTTTTTATATAATTATTATATATAATATGATTAAGCCAACTATCATCATGTAATATGATGACATTTCAATTACCATTTCAAATAAATGGTCATAGGTCCGAACCTTGGAAGTGGAGCTTAGATTCTTAGGGTTAAAAATGTTGAAGAAAATATAGAACAAATATAACTAATTGTGAATGCACAACACAACTTTATTTTCTTATACTTACGATTCAGAATCGAAAAAAATGAAATAAAATAAAATAATTATTGAATTTATATTATTTTAAAAATAAGAAATAGAATTTATAATAAATAAATAAATAAATTCTGAATTGGCAATAAAATAAAAAAAATGTTCGAAGCGAACCATAATCATCCGTACATATAAACAATAATTTGTTGGAGAAGAAAAAATAAATGAAATATTTAGTTTTAAGGGTAAAAATGTTCACCTAACATAAAATGGAGAAAATATGCCACTTTTAATATAATTGAGGGAGCAAATGTGGATAAACAAATAACTGAGAGGAAAAAAGTGCTATAATCATATAACTCAGAGGGAAAAAGTGTACAATTTTCCCTTAACCGGAAACTTTTAATTCGATTGATATAGTGTCCGGTTCAATTAGAATCGAACCGTGGTCATCCCTACGTATACGCAATAATTTGTTAGAGAAGAAAAATAAATAAAATGTTTACTTTAAGGGTACGAAATGTCAATTTAATATATCAGGGGGGAAATCGTCACTTTTAGAATAATTGAAGGGCTAATATGCTAACATGAATAATTCAGGGGTAAAAAGTACTATAAGTATATAACTTATGAGAAAAAAAGTACAATTTTCTCTTAATTAAATTTTAAATTAAAAAATTATTAATTACACCTCATAAATGAGGTTTGACCAAGGTGGTGCAAATAGCAAAATGAACTTTCATTTGGCTATTTACACCATCTATGTAATTATTGAAAGTTTTCACCTTTTTACAATTTCAAGATACTTTATACCTACTTTTGCCCAAAGGGTGGTACAAATAACAACACCCTACTATTTTCAAATAAAGTATTTGCCATGAATGATACACAATGTGGGTGTTTGGTAAATGATTATTAGCTGATTATGTTAGTGAGTTTGAGTAGTTGATATCATTAGTTGATTGAGTTAGTAAGTTTGACTAGTTGATAGCATTAGCGGATGGTAGAAAAATGTTTGGTAAATTAGTTGTTAGCTGTGTTAGAAATAATTTATTCCTAACATTGATTCATATAATAAAGGTTGTAATTTCATAAGGTACTCATTGTGATGATTAGTGAAGTGTAAAGGAGAAATTAATGGGTAAAATTCTCTTCCTCTCACTCTGTTAAAATTTAAGTTTATAAGGGTTAAAAGATGTATGTTGAAAAAGGTTATGGGTTTCTGAAGTTTCACATTCCTAAAGAGATTTCTATTCCTAAAAGGAGGTTTTCCATTCATCTTGAAAGATGGTTTCTCATCACGTACATCTATAAGTACCCAGGAAAACTCTAGATATCAAGGAAGTTTACCAGTCTCCAATATCATTAGGAGGTGATTAAGGCATACACATCAAAGAGGTGATGCATTTTTTATTTATTCAATTTAGAGATTACATCTCTAATGTAATCAAGTAAGTTTATCTTTATTTCTGTTTAATTAAAAATCCATGTTCACGAACATTGTTTAGATATCAAGGAAGTTTACCAGTCTCTAATATCATCAGGAGGTGATTAAGGCATACACATCAGAGAGGTGATGCATTTTTTATTTATTCAATTTAGAGATTACATCTCTAATGTAATCAAGTAAGTTTATCTTTATTTCTGTTTAATTAAAAATCCATGTTCATGAACATTGTTTAGTTGATTAATTTGATTTACATGCGATTCATTGTTAATTGTGTTTCATTCAAGTTATAGCGCATAAAGGTTTAATTTACAAGCTAATTAATGACTTTCTCAAAAAGCTGATAGAAAAAGCTACTTTGAACAACTTTTTGAATTTTAACATTTTGAAGCAATAAGTTGTTACAAAAAGCTAATTAATCAAACACTCATATTGATTGTTTAATAAGTCAAAACAACTAATATTGGTCAAATAAGTCAAAATTGGCTTATATGCTAACTATTTTACCAAACAGGGCCAATATATTATAGAGTACTATTTTCATCTACTTTTATGCATGGGTGTTAGTGAACAGTGCTTTCGATAAATTACTCGTGTTTGTGTTCGGTAAACGTTCATTTATATTTGTTTATTAAGGTAAATGAATATAAATGAACAAATTTTAGAGCTCGTTTAATAAATGAACAGAGTCTGAACATTTGTATGCTCGTTTGCTAAGAGCTTGTGAATGTGTTCGTTAGTGTTCGTTTAAAAATAGTTATGAACATGTTTGTTAAGTGTACTGTTCATTTAATAATTTTCACAAACATGCTCGTTTAGTATTTGTTTAAGATGTTAGACATGTATGACCTAGGAGCCAATATTTATTTTTGGACATTGTATTCTAATTAAATAAATAGAATAAATAGATATTTTTATTTATTTTTTTGGCTTAATTAATATTAGATATTATTCCATACAATCTTCTTAATTCTTCATTTAAGAGTTAAGAATAATATGAGTGACGAATTGAAGAATATATTAATGAACTATTGTAAAAATGTTCCTAGTCATAGAAATTTTAATTAGGCATTAGAATTCTGACAAGACTAGCACATTGTCCTTCTTATGGTGAGTCTTATGTCATTCCGTATGAGATAGGGAGAGTGAACATGTGGATGATTGTTAGAGGACAAGTCATTGAATAATGACTGACTACAACGTACCGCATGGTGTTTACCTACGTGGCTACGTGTCATTATTAGTATGTTGTATGTTACCAGTATGCAATAGTCCTTTGACTTGAGACTACATGGTTGTCTGGTAAATATGGTGGACTAGTGTTTTCCAGTACGCGTCTTTTGCTTCGTTACGAGGCTATAAGTCTATTTGGTGGCCTAGTTCAGTATTGTACGGAGACATGTGTGCGTTCAATAGAGGATCCACGGCCTTGAGGTAACAAGGTTTTTCGAGTCTATTTAATAATCTTACAACGAGAATCTCTGGCTAGAGTATAATGAAGTTAGAGTTTAGGTTAAGAATATTGAATAGATATTTTAAACTAGGTTTATGGGTTTGACCAAGTTTGACGATGACCTTTACCTGGTTCAGAACAAGTGTTGTGTGGAAGGATTATTGCAAGTCATTTGTAACGGAAATGTTCATTATCTACAAATCTAATAAGAGCCAATAATGTTAGGCCCTTAACTAGAACAAAAAAAAAATGTTGGTGTAATTGTTTCTTCAAATAAATGATTCATATTATTTTAATTTTAGTATTTTTATGATTTTCTTTATTTACCCTCTATTATATCATTTTCTTCCCTTAGATAACCCTGGATTCCATTACTATAAACTTGAGTAACCGAATATTCCGTTAACTATTTATTATTCTTAATTTACTCATTAGTTTCTATAAGAAAGGTCTGAGGTTCGAACCCATCCCAATCAGAGTTGGCATAATTGTTAAACATATACTACGAATATGTTAAAATATATACGGAGTATTACAAAAATAAATAGAATATAAAATTTAACATAAACTTTGTTCAAATAATTAGCCCGACTAAATACAAAGCATTCAAAGTTGAACATCAAAGATTATAAATCATGAACTTTGAAAATCATTTTCTTGCATTTTTTTAAAAATACAAATTTATGTTAAGTTTTTTTTTTTTTTTTTTTCCGTTTAATTAATCTTCTTTTGATTATTTAGAACAAAACTCAATATTACAATTATGCTTTTTGCATTATTGGATTTATTTAGGTCATTATGGTATTAATATTTTTGTATGTATTTTTTATAACGGTATAATTATGCATTACTTTATAAATATTATAGTATTATTTTTTATCAAACAAAATTTATCTTTATGAAAACTTTTAAAGAAATTTGTAAGTTAATTTTTACTATATCATTATAATAATATATATTGTAACCATATATTTCGAATTATTTATTATCATCATCTATTGACAGCAGTTGTAGTAATTGCCATTGACAAACTCCCAAAACAATTTGTCTCAACAACAAATGAAAATTAATAAAATCAATAACTTCAATGATGTGGATAAAAAGTATGTACGCCACTTTATTACTCTTATTAAATTAAATAAATTGGTAGCTACAACAAAAAAATAACACACATCTCACAACACATGAAACATGTTGGGGAAAACTACCACTACCAAATATCAATAGGCGCTTGTAAGATAAATAGTTTATAGTTCAACTAAGATCTCAATCATATACACAGCAAGACAAATATAAAACTTCTTACACCATAATCTCATTGCATGATGATGTCTTACCACCAGTAACCTAATTGCACATGACACACTACCAATAAAACAAAAAAACAAAAGATGACATGTACTGGAGATGAAGACAATAACAATGCTACCCAATACTTAAGTATGCTATTTAATCAATACTACTTAAGTATGCTCGCTGCACCCAAATAAGCCTTCAAATCCAACATTGCTTCAATGGCTTTGATCAATGCATAATCCACAGCCTTCTACTTCAATGACTTTGATTAAGTGTAGATGATGTGTATACCTGCAAATGCAATTAATTTAATATGATGGCTTTGATCAGCATTTCTAAAGTTTCTAGCAAAAATGACCAACAACTGTTTCTCATGCTGCAATTGGTGTGAGGGCTGTAGCTATAGACCACCAAACTACAATCATATAAACAAATATAAAGAAATGGTCATTTTATTACATGAGTAGAAAGGGGAAGACAGACAGAACCTTATTGTCAGCCCATATTCCCCCCTGCAATATGCATATAACCCAAAAAAAAAAAAAAAAAAACATACACCAAAATAAAAATGTAAGGTAAATAAATGCATAATAGCATTCAGTATACTAGTAAAACCGAATCAAAACAGAATTTCTTAAATGCCATAATCATATAAAGAAATGATCATTTTATTACCTACAGTCTTGTTTCAGAAAAAGTAACTTATATGGGTATGAAGAAAAGTAAATAAAAATGGCAATTACCTCCTGCAATATTTACTTCAAGGGCCGGAGACAATTTTGATTTGGGTGGATATCCTGGAGTGAAAATGCATGTGGGCGTTTTTCTGGAACATCATAGAACAATGACCCTTCAAGACAATAGTAATATGTATAGCACAACCTCATAAAATTCCCCAAAGATTGCAAAGATTAACACACTCACTTTTGGTTGTCAACAATGACATATGTGAATGGTGTGTTTCCTCCTTTGGACACCTGAATTGAAAAGCAATACATTGCCACTATTGATAACTTGAAGTTCCCAAAATATTTATCTCAAAGAAACCAAATTTTTAATCCAAAGGACAAACAATAAGATCTCCAGCTTTATTCATATATATACATAGTTGGATAAGCAATAATGTTTACATTCTTCTTAAATCCTCAACATATTATTAATCAAACTTCCATTTCAGCAACCACATTAAATTAAAGAGCATAAGCATAAACACTCATCTCTTAATTTTAGTTATAGGATGTCACGATATAAAGTTCACCAATTAACTAAAGGGGGAGCACTTACAGGCAGAATCAGAGGGAGAAAGAAAAAACCCTTTCTTCTTCTCCTCCTCTTCTCCCAATAGACCTTACTTTGATGCTTTTGATGAATGTAAGTTCTCCCAATAGACCTTACTTTCTACACTTCTCCACCACTGTTTCTGAGTTAATCGCATGTGTTGAGTGTATTAAGCCAAATATAGTGAGGAACAAATATTAGCTGTACAATAAATCATTTACCAAATATGGTCCATGATCTTAGTTCACAAGACAGAAAAGAACCGTTAATGTATAACACTGAGCATTAGAAACATACATTCATAAAAGGTTGAACTCGATAGGGGAAAGATTCTAGTCTCCCGCCCTTCCTTGAAACAACTTTCAATAGATATAAAAAAAAACAAACATAATTACATTGTTCTGTGTCATAGATGATAACGATTTTAGTAAAATGGCTAAAAGTCTTAAGATCCAGCATCCATTAAACCAATCCAAAAATGTCCATGAATTAAAAAACAATTTATGAAAGAACTAGCAAAATTGAAGCAAAAAACACAGATTTTAAGAAAATTTTAGAATTCAAAGCCAATATCACTTATCTAAATAATTATTAAATAATTTTACAGTAAATTACACTTATCTAAATTACTAAATAAATGGTTCATAGTCTTCACAAAACACAATAAATGACATATAGTACTAACTACTAAAATCACATTCACAGTGATAAATCACAATACTCTGTCTTCACAAACATACACTAAAATACTAAATAAAAGTCATAGCCACATGCCTATTGCCCATACTGCCATAGCCAAATTGCCAAATTGTCAATCTTACCATAGTTCATTAGGAAAAAAAATAAACATGCTTCCACAGTTCCACATACTGCTAATCTGCCGCACCACTAAATAAACATACTGCCAATCTGCCACTAAATAAAAATCTTCCAATCTGTGTGAATTTTTTTTTATATGAATCAAACTATCAAAGTGAACAAATTACAATTTACAGATACTCAAATAGAAATTATAAAATTAATATTAGTAACTTACCCTTAAGAGTTGGAACTTGGAAGAAGTGAAGAACCCAAAATCGGAACAAGTCTGAGGACTGAGATGGGTGAGGGCGTGAGGCGGTGAGCGGCGAGCCGGCAACTGGGGGGCGTGAGTGAAAGCTGCGCGATTTAGGGTTCGATTGTTCGAGAGGGGTAGTGAGGGTTGAGCCGTGAGGCAGTCTAGGCGTCTAGCAGTGACTCGGTGTGCTATGATTCTATGAGGATTGAGGGTGTGAGAGTGAAAGCTTCGCGATTTAGGATTTTAGGGTTCGAGAGTGAGAACTGAGAGAGGGGCAGAGTTTTAGGGTTGCAAATAGAGGTTGTCTGCCAAACTTCTATTTTTCCCCTCCAAAGTTTTATATTTCCCGCTTCTCTATTTAGTGTCTACTATTCCAGTATTCCTCTATTTTTTTCCTAAAGTTTTTAAATTTCCGTCCAACATTGTTGTTCGACGGAAGTTAAACTAGCTATCATTTTTAATTTCTCCCAATATATACTGACCAACACTAAAGGTTGGACAAAATTTCCTTCCAACACTGGACGTTGGACGGAATTTCCGTCCAACATTCGCGCGTTGGACGGAATGTCCGTCCAACTTTCCGTCAATCCATCTTTTACAATCGAAAGTTGAGATTTTTATTAAAATACCGACCAAATTATAGTTGGACGGAAATGTTGAACGGAAAACGCGAGATTTCCAGCAGTGTAATAAGACTTAGAGAAATTTCAACCAAAAGTAGTATTTATTTAGACTATTGCTTTAAGACTAAGTATTTAAAGTAACGTTATTACAAAGTTGCAAACATTTATTTTAGTGACAATTATAATAATTCTCTCATATATTATCTTGCATTTATATACTTTGAATTACCGATTTAAATAAACAAATTCATCATTCAATTACCTATGCATTAACATCTCCTATATAATATTGCATTGATATATGACTATGAAGTACTTATTTAAAAATAATTATTGGGCATTATCCCATTCGCGCAATGCGCGTAAAAAACTAGTAATATATATACGTATATTCATTGTCAACTAAGTAGTTATGACATATTGTTAGGTGACACTAATGACTTACAAGTTATTTAATAATGAGTTATTAAATATTACTCGTTGCTAGTTAGACTAGGAGCCTAGAAAGTCACACACTAATGATTCGTGGAAATGCAGGGAACTTTAAAAGAAATCGATAAAGAGTTATCGATATTAAATTAATAAATTAATAGTAGATTACAGAATTAATTCAATATTTGGTAATATTGGGCTTTTAAAGGCTTGCATCTTTGGACCAAAATAAACCAAGCTATATAAATAAGCATTTCCCATTCCTTAAAGTGAATTGAGAGAATTGAAAAAGAGATTTTCGAAAGAAAGAGATAACAATTTTTCACGTAAAATCTTTGGGAGTTCTCGCTTGTCCGGCCGGTAGTCGGACTAAAGACTGAACAATTGGACAGCTCAAGGTTTTTGATTCTGCCAAAGCACGCTTCAAGGGTAAAATCATTGGAAAATTGTAATTTGTGACCATCCATAATATGCTAATTATCAATATCACTCCTGAATTATTAATGATGTAAATGTCGCCCCTCGATTTTTAAAACGGTACATATACTGCCCCTCCCATAATGTAAATGTTGCCTCTCAATTTTCCTCCCGTACGGTACTGGAGGAGCAATATGTGTACCGTTTGAAAAATTGAGGGGCAACATTTCCACCACTGATAATTCTGGACTGACATTGATAATTGACATATTATGGAGTGACATAAATTATAGTTTTCCCTAAAATCATTAAACCTCATCTTTAACGTAGAATCTCGAAAAAGCGATTGATGCTTCACCTGCGCATATGTATGTTTTCTAACATAAGACTGTTCACGAATAGACTCATTTAAGTGCTATATATATATATATATATATATATATTATTCTTTTAATTATACGATACAACTTTAGTTTAGCCTATTTTTTTAATAGTCGTTATGTTGTTTGTTTGGTTATTGTTTTGAACATAAATTATTTCTTGTTCACGAACAAATTATGATCATGAACTTGTACATGTGTTTGTTTAATTTGTTTAGTATTCATGAATGTGTAACGAACACGTTCGTGAATGTTAATGAACACTAACGAACACTTAATTAAGAAAAGATTAAGTTACCTACGTATCTTATCAAAATTTCAATAAGAATCAAAACACACGTAGTTCTTTTACCATTCTTTTTTGTCTTTTCTTTAGTCAGTTTAGTCTATTTCAATAGCAGCGGTTGTTGTATCATCATCATCATCATCATCATTATTATTATTATTATTATTATTATTATTATTATTATTATTGATAATCAATTTAAGAAATTTTTGAATTCGATTGTATGTTCATTGATTATATTTTCTTTATGTATAATATACTCTATTTTTGTGACAATCAATATTTATTTTTTATTTTTTTGCAATGCATTAATTTATTTATGATTTATAAAAATATATTTTTGTAAAAAATTATAAATAATGTGTTAATGAAAGTTATGGAATGTTTGTAAGGGTGTATTCAATTGAGATTTTTAATGACTTTTGTAGATTTTTAATATAAAAAAGTTTTTAAAAGTCTATAAATGTATGTCTTATGAATTTTTATAGAATCTTACAAAGTTTAGGAAATTTAAAAGATTCTAAGACAATCTATAAAAAATTTACAAAAGTAAGTTAAAATCTATCACTTTAAAATTTTTGAAAGACTTTAACAAGGCGTTTGGTTGGAGAGGGGGGATTACGTGGGAAAGGAATTGCAATTCCATGGGAGATGAATTACTGGGAATAAAGTGAAATTTAAATTTCAGTATTTGGTTTACATGAATATAATTACTGGGAATTTCAATTCGAATGTTTGGTACACATGGGAATTGAAAGGGAATAAGTATTATAAAGTCAAAAATGTCCATTATTGTTGTTAGGCATTAATTTTAGGTTAAAAAAGGAAGGGTAATTTTGACTCATCACTATCTTTTTTGCCCAGGAATTAAAAATCCAGGGGGGCGGGGGGCATGAAATTTTAATTCCATGAAAATGGGAGAATTGCAATTCTATGGAATTGCAATTCCTTTCAACCAAACAAGGAAATTTTGTGGCCTTTGAAATTAGGTGTGAATTAAGTGAGAAGGGAATTTAAATTCCCTTCAACCAAACGCCCTGTTAAAAGTCTTGATTGAATACACATGATTCAAACCTTAGGCAAAGTTTTCTGTGGACAATGGTCCACTGTGGACCCAAAACGATATTGTTTCGGTGTTTATTTTAAAAAGAAATCGTTATTGGGCAAATTAATTATATCGTGCACTAGGGCACACAATGTATTATGCGTCCTAAGAGTTATGTGTATTATGTTATGAGTTTATGTGTATTATGTTAAAAGTTTGTGTATTATGTTAAGAGTTCATGTGTATTATGTTAAGAGTTTATGTGTATTATGTATTATGTTAGATTATGCGTATTATGTTAGGAGTTTATGTGTATTCTATTATACAATTATTTACATACAAAATAGGGAATTTTGAAGATGCACAATGCATTGTGCGCCCTGTGCACGATATAACAGTTGTCGTTACTGTATGCTCAGATGTTATCTTCGTCTTGTTGAAATGGAAAGCATGAACTGAGAATATGTATTGAATATTGAAGAAGATGATACAGAGATGAGGAACGATCACATGCTTATATAGACAGAAGATCATAATAGCGGTTATAACAGAATTGGAGTGTAGAATTACAAAGATGCCCTCTCGTCTCTTCATCCTCCTCAGCTGTTGTGTTGTTACCTTCCTTCAACATCCCCCCGTAAGCTGGAGCATGCAAGTCTTGGATGCCCAGCTTAGAGTTGAAGGTTTGAAACAAAGTAGTAGGGAGGGGTTTGGTAAAGCCATTAGCAATTTGGCTCGCAGAAGGGATGGACATAAGCTTTATCAAGCCTTGAGATACTTTCTCCCTAACGAGGTGGCAATCGATTTCGATGTGCTTCATCCGCTCGTGAAAAACATGATTTTCGGCGATTGCAACCGCATATTTATTGTCACAAAACACCAGGCTTCTTCATCACCACATGTAAGTCGTTTAGCAGAAAAGTGATCCATTGTATCTCGCAAGTAGCAGCAGCTAAGGCATGGTATTCTGCCTCAGAGGAGGACCTGGAGATGGTTGCTTGTTTCTTCGATTTCGAGGAAATTAAAGCAGCACCAAGGAATATACAAAACCCGGTGACAGATTTTCTTGTTTCAGAACAAGACGCCCAGTCTGAATCGGAGAATACACTGACTTGCAAGTCACCTCCTTTAGGATAGAATAAGCCCTGTCCAGGATCACCTTTGATATAACACAGCACTCGGTGAGCAGCAATCAAGTGCTTGTCTGTTGGTGCATCACCGAATTGACTGAGTTGGTGGACAGCGTAAGTGATATCTGAGAGCCTAGTAGCGGTGAGGTATAACAAACGGCCTACCAATCTTCTATAACTGCCGGCCTCACTAAGAAGAGTTCCATCACCATGCTTTAGAGATTGTCCTGGTAACATAGGAGTGGCTACTGCCTTGCATTCCAGAAATCCTGCCTCTGCAAGTATGTCAAGCGCATACTTGCGTTGGCACAAGTTTAAACCGAGGTCATTTGTGTTGGCTTCAATGCCCAGAAAATAGCCTAGTTCACCCAAGTCCTTGATTTTAAAAACATTATCAAGGAAGCCTTTTAGATCATTAATCAACTGCAAATCTGGGCTGGTCACAAGAATATCGTCTACATATACCAAAACAGCAAGGAAAGTGGCAATATCACCCTTGGTGAACAAAGATGGATCAGACTTGGATAGAACAAAACCCATCCGTAACAAGTCTGCACTGAGCTTAGCATTCCACTGTCGACTGGCTTGTTTAAGCCCATATAACGACCACAACAGTCTACACACTTGGTTTGGTTTATTTGCTTGGAAACCAGGTGGTAAAGACATGTAAACTTCCTCCGATAGATCACCGTGTAGGAAGGCATTATTGATGTCTAACTGATGGATGTGCCACCTTCGAGCAGAAGCAATATCCATGAATGTTCGGATAGTGGTTAGTCTTGCAACAGGGGAAAAGGTTTCAATATAGTCAATCCCCAATTTTTGTGTATAGCCTTTGGCTACAAGCCTTGCCTTGTATCTTTCTATGAATCCATCTGTGCTTAGTTTAATTTTGTAGACCCATTTACACCCTATAGGAACTTTGCCAACCGGAAGATCAGTCAACTCCCAGGTATTGTTGTCTTGTAACGCTTTTATCTCTGTGTTCATTGCCTGCCTTCAACAGGTGTGTTTGATAGCTTGAGTGTAGGTCTTTGGTTCATTAATGGAAGTGACAGCAATTGAGAAAACTTTATGAGATGGAGAGAGAGCGTCGAAGGAAATAACCTTGGACAGATGATGAGGAGATGATCCTCTGGTCATGGCTGCCTCACAGAAATAGTCATGAAGTTTATTGGGGATGCGGCGACATCTGTTCGAGCGCCTAGGTTGTTCTGGAATAATGGGAGCCTCTTGACTATCACAGTTCATCCCTGCTTCCTCAGAATTCTCATTAACAATGCTGCTAGAGTCATTATGCACAAAGATCTGGGGTGAACTGTGGCCAGAATCATTAATTGTATCATCTTGTGTTCCATGCTCTTCATGGTGTTCATCAACTGTGTAAGGAATAGAAGTATTGACTGGAATGATGGGCAGATGAGGACCTTCCGGAGGGTGCTTGAAATCATCAGAACCTGCTTTAGAGAAAGGAAATTGCAACTCATAAAATCGCACATCTCTGGAGACAAATGTGGACTTGTCTTGGAGATCATACAACAAGTAACCTTTAATGTGAGCTGGCATGCCAAGGAAAATAGACTTCCTGCTTCTTGGAGCCAACTTGTGTCTTTGGTGAGGCAAGGTGGATGTATAGCAAAGGCAACCAAACACCCTCATGGCATTGAGGTCCGGTTCCTTCCCATACAAGCGGCAGTAAGGATTAGACCATTGAATAACTGGTGAGGGTAGTCAATTTATGAGAAAGACAGCATGTAGGACGCAATACCCCCAAAACTCAAGAGGAAGGGAAGCTTGAAAACGAATGGCCCTTGCCACCGTTAGTATATGTTGGTGTTTGTGTTCTACAACGACATTCTGTTGTGGCGTGTACACGCAAGATTTTTGATGAATGATGCCCTTTTCTGCAAAGAAATCGGTCATATTGAACTCAAGACTGTTATAAGTCCGAATAACTTTGATTAATGCTCCAAATTGTGTGTGAATTAGAGCATGGAATTTCTTATGAATTGCCTAGCATCTGACTTGTGCTTCATTAAGTGGAGCCAAGTAAACCTGGAGTAATCATCAACCATGGTTAGAAAATAGTGTTCACCATGCATTGAACTAACCAGGAATGGTCCCCAAATATCACCGTGGATCAAATCAAAACATGTTTTTGAGGTGGTAGTACTCAGAGGGAATGGGGAACGCTTGTGTTTAGCTAGGTGACAAATGTCACAAACCATTTCTTTAGCAACAGACAGTTTAACATCTTTCAAAGTATGAAGTTTGTTTATAGGGAAATGCCCTAGTCTTTGAGGCCAAACTCTAGTATCATTACAATGTATAGAAAAACTTTTGTGAGAGGCAGCAGGTTTCTGAGGTGGTTCCAATAGTAAGTATAATCATGAGTACCCTGAATTGTGCATTGTCCAGAAAGAAAAGTTAGTTCACAACATGCATCTTGTAGGAGTTTACTGACAGAAATTATATTAAATTTGAAAGATGGTATATGGAGAGAGCATCCTTCAACCATAGCTCATTGTTAAGTCTAACATCTCCTATAAGTTTGACAGCTATGCCTTCTCCAGTAGGCAAATTGACTTTAGCTCCACAAACATCACGGTAGTTATCAAAGAATTCAAGAGCACAGATTATATGATCCGTAGCCCCAGAGTCAACAATCCAAGTGGTATCACACAACGATACATAATTAATATGGATTTTAGGGCACTTGCCTTCATCTGCTGAATTGGTTTCTTTGAATTCTGGAATTAATGTGACAACAGCAATAGAGTTCGTGGCATGTGACTGTGTGTTAGATTGGTTTTGAATGAAGGAGATGAGCTTCTGTAGTTGGTCAGGAGAAACTCCAAGTTCTCCCATATTGTTCGTTATAGCTGTTGTACTCATTTGCTGCTTTCCTTTTGATTTGAATCCCGGTATCCACCCTGGTGGATAACCGTGTTTTTTGTAACACTTATCAACGGTATTCCCGTTCATTCCACAAAATGTGCATTTCGCTCCCTTGCCTCCATTGTTGTTTCGTCTCATATTGTATGAATTCATAGCAGCCATAGCCTCATCATTAAGGTTCTGGCTATGATTGACTGCATTTACCTGGACAATTTCTATGTTGCTTGCACTCAAATTCATCAAGCTAATCTGCCTTTCCAGTTTCTCCGTCATAACGAAGACCTTGTAGACCTCCGACAAAGGATCGAGAATGAGGACGTTGAACTTCAAGCTTGCATAATCATCATTGAGTACTTGGAGGAATCGGATGACACGATCTGTGTCACGCTCCTTCCTGATCTCATCAACGAGATCACACCTGCATCTCGGATCACACTTACAGACTGGAAGTGGTCGCTATGCATTCATCTCCTCCCACAAGGTTTTGCACTTCGTATAATAGTCATTCATAGATAAGTTGTTCTGTTTTAGACCGTAGATTTCGTTTTGCAGAGTCGAGATCTTCTGTGCATCGCGTTGTGGGAATCTCCTCTTGAGATCCTCCCAAGCGTCTTTTGCATTGTATAGGTGCATGATGCTTCCAGCTATGGAGGAGTGCACCGATCTGAAGATCCAAGAGCATATCATCAGATTGCATCTTCTCTAAGCTCCATACAGATTCTGATCACGATTTGGCGCTGGGACGCTTCCTTCAATGAAGCACCACTTGTTCTTTACTTCAAGTGCTATTCGCATGGAGATACTCCATGTAGCGTAGTTGGAGCTTCCAATCAACGGAGGAGATACAAGAACTGTGCTAGGATTATCAGTAGGGCCGAAGAAAAGAGGATTCTCCATATCTTCTAAACTGGAGTTTCTGTGAGATTCAGGACCGGAATTCCTCTGCGGAATTGCGGTTGAAGCTGTTTGATCCGGCGACTCAGCGATCGGAGGTGTCGGTTGCGCTTGCGAATTCATTTCGCCGGTGACTGCTGCTGCGTATGAGCCCCTAGAGAGCTTTGATACCATGTGGAAATGGAAAGCATGAACTGAGAATATGTATTGACAATTGAAGAAGATGATACAGAGATGATGAGGAACGATCACATGCTTATATAGGCTCTGTTTGGTAAAATGGATGTTAGCGGTTAGCTGATTGTGTTAATTAGAGAGAATAAATAATTGATAACATTAGTTGATTGTAGAAAAGTGTTTGGTAAATTAGCTGATAGTTGTTTGGTATAATTTCTTTTCTAAAAAAACTAATTGAAAAGTTGCATGGAGTAGCTTTTTGAATTTTAGCATTTTGGAGTTGCAAAAAGCTAATTAACCAAACATTTATATTGATAATTTAACTAAATCAAACAATTAATAGTGGCTTTAAAAAAAAAACAATTAATAGTGATCAAATAAGTTAAAATTGACCTATAGGCTAATTTTTTTACCAAACAGGGCCATAGATAGAAGATCATAATAGCGGTTATAACATAATTGGAGTGTAGAATTACAAAGATGCCCTCTCGTCTCTTCATCCTCCTCAGCTGCTGTGTTGTTACCTTCCTTCAACACGTCTATCACCTTTTTAAAATTATTCTCTGCCCGGCGTTCTCTGTCCACACTTTAAGTTTTAAGCGAGATGAATGACCCAGATTAAACTGCACAACCGCACCAGAACCTAATTATATTTATATATATATATATATGCTTCTATAGAGCAGTACATATCTCACTACCTTGCCATGAGAATGCATCAATTTTGGGTGCAAAATTAACATTTACTTCATGGACAATGATTGAGGTCTAACACATTTGTTGCCCTCACATGATGATTGTGCAATTTTTGAGTTTGATTCTTCTTGCAAACTCTTTCCAATGGGCCGGGTAATCTATCTATCATGCATTTTTAACAAAGGTTATGTAATAATCAGGTAAATCATATTACAAAAATGATATAATCTTTTATATATATGTTTTTAAATGAGCATTGAACTTTTCAGTCCTGAAACTTTGAAAAAAATATATTCTAAATTCAAGATTTTGGAGTCCTTAAACTTAGTACATTGCTTTCATAATCTGTGATATAAAGATGATTGATGTGGACTTTATTCAATTTAGGTCATTTATAAAGTTTTAGTGTTCTTAAAAAGAAAAATGTAAAATTCATGGAGGTCTCAATATTATTTACATACAACCTCCATTATCTTCACTATTGTAAGATTAATAAGAATTCAGCATGAGTCATGTCCATAAAGTTTGTGACTTTATTTCATTTTTATGTGCTTTATATATGTGTTCATAAATTAGTTGACAACGTAGCACTCATTTGTAATCAAATATTAAAGAATTGTCTTAAATAGTGTTACATGAGGGAATTGAACATTAGAAAGAATGTTTTAAAAACAAGTGTGCAGCATCACTCATTTTTACATAATCATACTTGGTGGAGATCGACAATGTTATTTTGTATCATCAGTGTTTTAACATCATCCTCGTACACAAGGCGCATTCCAATACCCGTGTATGCCGATTTGGAAGGACCAGAAACTTCAATTTGACACCATTCATTACAAGCACTAACAAAGGGACATTCATTACAAAAATCAAAGGAAGGCATATAGGACAGGCAAGTGACCTCAGATTTCATGTACTGTTTAACCCCATTAAAGCCCATAGATGTGATAATAGATGATCGACGACCATCACGAGTTGTGGGAGAGATTTGGAGATTAATTCCATATGTTTTAGTTATCCTGTTAAAAATCCTTGAACCTGGAGTAGTTATCAAGTTAGAAACCACACAGAATGTAAATCCTATGAATTTGTTATTGTACCAATTTTGAGGCAAGCTAACTGATAGTGAATTTCCCAAATTCTTATACGTAAACCACTCAGGAAACACCATGCCTGGAAAGTAGACACTAATGCCGTGTTTTGGGTTTGATAGTCCCTGTGCCACCCACAATACGTGCAATTAATAGTTTAATTTTTTTGTGTGAAACATGCATCCATATACAACTAATTAAAAAGCTAGCTAGCTTTAATTTATGCGGGCATGCATGATAAGGATGCATGGATTGTAATGAGTTACGTACCTTGAGCAGGTGTTGCCATATTGCATCAACTATGTGACCGTAACGTGGATCCTCAGGGAGTTGAGCACATTTAGTGAATGAAACACGTCTCAACTTTGGGTATTTAGTCAACGAATTTATGTTGCGGCCTTCTAAGCTGGGGCATTCATCTGCATAAACCTCTATTATACTAGATGGAAGCTCTGGAAAACTTTGAAGCCTCCCACATCCCACTAGATAAAGTTCCCTAAGTTGAGTGAGGTTGACAAAGGATTCAGCTGGGATACAACCAAACTTCTTGTTGCTAAGATTCAGTACTTTCAAACAATGAAGCTGTCCAAGATCACCAAGAATAATGCCTCCATCTAGCATACTACAATCACTAAGATCCAGCATTTGCAGTGAAGATAACCTAGATAGAGAAGGAAACGGTGAAGCCTTGATATATTGAAAAGTTCCTGCTGGCAGCAGCCTAGAGAGGAAGAATGAACAGCTCTTTTGTAATGGAGAAGCCAAAGGTTTGCATGCATGAAATGATAAAATCTTGATTTTCTTGAGAAGTGAAATGGAGGATGGTAGCTCTTGGATTGCTGTCTTGTCACAATACAGCTTTTCTAAGCATTTTATTTCTCCCAATTCATCTGGTAATTTCTCAAACTTGGAACAACCAGAGAGAATCACAGCTTTCAGACCTTTCAAACTACAAATGCTACTTGGAAGGCTTGCAAGATGCTTACAATTGCTTACATCTATTAACTTCAAGTTTGTGAGGCACTCGATTGATAATGGCACTTCTCTTATAGCAGTAGCCTCAGCATGTACTTCTAACAAGCAAGCCATAGGAGCTGCAATTTTTGGAAAATTTTCGAGTTTCAAGCAGCCTGATAGTATTAGCATCTCAAGCTTTTCTAAATGAATGCTTTCGGGGAGCCTCTTCAGATTTACACAATTCTTAAGGTTAAGTGAAACAAGGTTCTTGAGAAATCCAACAGAAGCATGGATCTCTACCAAACTTGTACAATGTTCTAGAATCAATGTTTCAAGATTTGGGATTCCTGTGAAATCTGGAGTCCTAATTAGTTTCTGAGAGTGGCTCAGATTCATGAATTTCAAATTGTCCAGGACCTGTATGTACAAGTGAGACATATATAAAAGAAAAACAATAATATGAATAAAATTAAAGCAAAGAGAGATTATATCAGAGACAAATAACAAATAAATAAATAAATAGTTAGATAGATAGATATACCTTGAATCCTTTCCAAAGTTGTATGACACGACTATATTGCATTTTAAGACAAACAAGTTTTTGTCCCTGGAAAGTAGCAGGCAAAGTTTTTGAAGGATATCCGTGCCAATCTAGCCACCTTAACTCGCCAGGGAGAAAATTAGGGGCATGAGAAGCATTTGCATTGTGAAATTTGAGAAGTCTTAGCTTGGCCATGTGTGTGAAGGCCTCACTACTAACTTTCACATCTGTTGCAACCTTCAAGTTGAATGCTATACCTTGGATATTTTCTGTACCCTGAGAATATAATATTTCACAAGTAAACAATTAAATTCTTAAAAATGAAATGTATAAATTAATCAAATTATGGGATTCGATTGATGCATATCTATATGATTTGTTGTTTACATATACTATACTATACGTACCTCACTTCCTATAAGTAGTTGAGAAATATCCTGAGGTAGCCACAACCTGCTATATCTTTTTGGATCATCTGAAGCTTCTTGGCGAACAATAGACCACCCCATTTCTTGTATTAATTGATGCATCAAAACACGACCTTCTGAAATAGTTATTAGAGATTTCTCCCTGAGAACCTTTATGCCAATGTCAGAGTAGAAGTTGAAACTATTAAGTATTCTTGTTATGGATGTTCTCTTCTTCCCATTAAAGAAGCATGCAATGTCTAAGAAAACCCTTTGTGTATTTTTGTTGAGACTAATGAAACTTAATTTAAGTTTCTCGAAAATCTCATCTTCTGGGATTTCCTTAAGTCGGGCAACTTCACTTCTCCATTCATCAATATCTCTACCATATAGGAGGGATCCAAAAACTTCAAGAGCCAAAGGAAGGCCTCCAGCATAGTGTACCACATGAGCTTCGAGCTCCTCAAATTCCTTGGTAGGAAGCAGCGGCAGTTGTTTATTAAATGCATGCTGCCTAAAGAGTTGAAAGCTTTCAGCTTCCTCTAGCACACTCATTTTATAGTATTTCATAATCTTCACTTTATGGCTAATAAGCAAGTGCTTATCCTTGGTTGTTATGATGATTCTACTTCCAACATCGAACCAATCGCTGTTTCCAGCCAATGATTCCAATTGATCCCTGTGATCAACATCATCAAGAACAATAAGCACTCTTTTGCATTGTAGCCTTTGACGTATCATCATTTTTCCTTCAAACACATTGTCTATTTTCAAATCTTTTACTGAAAGAATCTTAGATAGAAGTTTCTGTTGCAAGTGCACCACACCATGCTTGCCCGACTCGCTTCTAACTTCATGAATAAAACTACAACCTTCGAATTCTTTTGAGATCTTGTCATACATAGCTCTTGCAATAGTTGTTTTTCCAATCCCGCTCATCCCATGTATTCCAACAAAGCGAACATCACTAGACCCCATGCCTATCAGTGGATACAATTTTTGTATACGAGGCTCCATCCTAACCAGTTTTGGATCATCAATTGACCTCATTGAACCCAATTTAGTAACGATATCTTCAACAATTTTCTGGATGAACTTTGCTTCATGTCTATATACATCACAATAAAACACAGTATGTACAAGTCATAAATTAATTAAAGACACAAATTAATGCACGTTTTTTAGTTGGATGGCTTCACCTCTAAACATAAGCATAGCATTCAACTTCATGTGGGTAAAGTTCAAAAACATTTATCCATACTAATATCATATGAAAAAAGTCATTGTCTAACTTGTCTTCTTTATTCAGTTTGCATATTGAAAACATGACTTGATAAGACCCAAATCACCCAACTCAAACTGATTTTTGATTTAGACTCCTTGAAAACCTGGAAAATGATTTTTAAAAAATGACTCAGTTTTCGTAAAATATTTTAATTTTTTAGTATAGTGTTTGGTTAAAGGTTAGAAAATTGTCTTAAAATATTTTAATTTTTTAGTATAGTGTTTGGTTAAAGGTTAGAAAATTGTCTTTTTTTTTTTTTTTTTTTTCTATTTGACTGAGAGTTAAGAAATTGCATTTTTTGATGGTGGTTGCTAGACCTTTGCTCACTGCGCACAAGGAACCCCCCTCACTGCCGCTGGTCATTTTTCTAAACTTTTACCTCTATGACCAGTTGATCTGCCCATGCGGGTATATAATCTAGTTCTCTAACCAATGAGCCACAACGAACATATAGACTTTAGGTTATTTATATTAGGACTATATTATTCATATTAGACTAGGACTATATTATTCGTGTTAGACTAGGATTCTATCTACCATCTCTATATATCCGCTCCTTGTACTCTCAGACATTATTATGGAATACAACACAATTATATTCTCATCTAGTATCAGTTAGCTAGGGTTTTCCTTTCCAACATCCATGTTCGTAGCAGTAGCCGATGGCATCGAACCAAGATACACCGTATGAGAAGCAGTCCAGTCAACGACGTGGCATTGATGATCCGTGTGAAATTTGTAAACGTTTTGGTCACACGGGAGCCAATTGTTTTTGGCGCTATGATGATCCTTGTCAAATTTGCAAACGTTTTGGTCACACGGGAGCCAATTGTTTTTGGCGCTATGATGATCCTTGTCAAATTTGTAAATGTTTTGGTCACATGGGAGCCAACTGTTTTCGGCGTTATTCAGGGGCTCCGGGTTTTCAGGCTAATGTGGCCGTCTCTAGTGATAATGGTGATTCCAACGGTCCTCATCAGTGGTTCCCTGACACTGGTGCTACAAATCATGCTACGCCTGATTCTTCTTTGATGACTTCTGAGACACGTTATGATGGCCCGGAGACTCTGCGAGTCGGCAATGGTACAGGTTTGCCTATTGTTAATGTTGGTTCCACTTCGTTAGCTACTGATTCTAGGTCTTTTAAGTTACATGATGTTTTACATGTCCCTGGTCTCTCTTCTTCTCTATTTTCTGTCCAGCGTTTTGCAAAAGACAATAATGTTTTCTTTGAGTTTCACCCCCTTTGTTTCTATGTGAAGGGCATTTTGACCAGGAAGGTTCTTTTTAAGGGCATGCGTCTGGGCCCTGGGGGTCTCTACACATGGCATGCGTCCTCCTCAGCTTTTGCTGTGTTTGTTGCTGCGTGATCCTCTTGCGTTTGGCACATGCGGTTGGGGCATCCTCATTCTCGAGTCTTACGTAAAATTTTAACGTCTTCGTCTATTGGTACATTTAATTCTAGTGATCTTCCCAATGTCTATTCCTCTTGTGAATTGGAAAAATCCTCTCATTTTCCTTTGACTCGTGTCAAAACTACCAGTACGCATCCTTTGGAATTAATTTATTAAGATATTTGGGGCCCGACGCCATTACTTTCTGCGTCTGGCTATAAATATTTTGTGTTGTTTGTGGATGATTACACTCGTTATATATGGTATTATCCCATGCGTGCAAAATCTGATTTGTATGCTATATTTGATAAGTTTCGGTCACTCGTTGAACGTTCTTTTTCTCGCAAGATTATTTTCCTTTCAATCTGATTTAGGGGGAGAATATAAAAAGCTTGGTTCCAATCTTGCTTCGCTTGGTATTCGCCACAGGCAATCCTGTGCGTATACTCACGAGCAAAATGGTCGAGTAGAACGCAGACATCGTCATGTTGTTGAGACAGGGCTGTCTTTAATGGCTCAAGCATCTGTCTTGTCTCGTTTTTGGGACTATGCTTTTGAAACTGCTGTGTATCTAATTAATAAAATGCCGACTCGTGTTCTGTCTGATGAGTCCCCTCACTTCCGTTTACATTGATCTCCCCCGCCCTACTATTACTTGCGAGTGTTTGGCTGTTTGTGCTTTCCTGTCCTACGTCCTTATAATCGCAATAAACTCCAGTTTCGTTCATCTCCATGTGTCTTTCTAGGCTATCCTCCGTCTTATCGTGGCTATCGTTGTTTGGACACTAACACTAACAAGGTTTTTATTTGTCGCCACGTGCGATTCAATGAGACTGTGTTTCCCTTTGTTTCTCCTATTGCCTCGCAGGTTGCTACACCGCATTCCGAACCGTGGGCTACTACACCAATTGTGACGGGCCAAGGAAGTGATGTCTCGACCACGGTTACTGATGGCGCTCGACAGATTCACGAGCCCATGGCGGCTTCTGGCGGTGATGCCGGTCACGGTCACGAGTAGTCCGCATCGATTGAGCGGACTGTCTCGGACCAGCAGGTTGAGCAGTGCGGCAGACCGCGCGGACGTCCTCGACGTGTTACTCCGCCTCCTCGGTCACATAGCATGAACACTCGCATCTCCGACCTGCATCAACATGTTGCCTTAACAACTATTTCCACTATATTGTCTGAGCCTACTTGTTACTCTCAGGCGGTCAAGTTTCCTAAGTGGCGTGATGCAATGAACGCGGAGTTCAATGCCTTGGTACATAATCATACATGGCGTCTCGTTCCATCTCAACCACGTATGAATGTTGTTGGTTGAAAGTGGGTTTTCAGAACCAAACGGAAGGCCGATGGTTCAATAGACCGTCATAAAGCAAGGTTAGTAGCCAAGGGTTTTAATCAGCTAGGTTGCTGGAGAGGACTTTTTTGAGACCTTTAGTCCTGTGGTTAAGCCCACTACGGTTTGTCTTCTCTTATCTTTAGCCGTATCTCGTGGGTGGTCTATTCGCCAGTTGGACATTCACAATGCCTTTTTAAATGGCGAGCTAGCTGAAACTGTTTACATGTGACAGCCACCTACTAGTTATGAGGATAAGGCGTTACCTAATCATGTATGTTTGCTTAAAAAAGCTCTATACGGTCTCAAACAGGCTCCACATGCATGGTTCACAAGGCTACATGATTTTCTTGTCTCTGTGGGCTTCTCGCCTTCTAAGACGGATGTGTCTCTTTTTATCTATTCTCGTAACAATATTTGTCTTTATTTCTTGGTGTATGTTGATGACATTTTAATTATGGATTCTGACTCATATCGTGTTACTGCTCTTATTGATAAATTAGCACTTGAATTTAAGGTTCGTGATATGGGTGTGCCTTCTTTTTTCTTGGAAATAGAAACTGTCCCGTTATCTGGCGGTATGCTTTTATCCCAACAACGGTACATGAAGGATATTCTCAAACGTGCTGGCATGGTGGACTGCAAGCCAGTAATCACGCCTGTCTCTTCTGCGAAAATCACAAACGACGTGGTCGTTCCCTATGTCGATCCAACACAATACAGGAGTCTTCCTGGTGCTCTCCAGTATCTTACGGTAACTCGTCCGAATCTATCCTATCTTGTTAATCTATTGTGTCAACATATGCATGCTCCCACTACTACAGACTGGGCCTCTTTAAAGAGAGTCCTGCGGTATGTCAAAGGCACCCTGAATTTTGGCATGCATATTTCTCGGTCTACATCTATGGATATTCACGCATATTCTGACTCAGATTGGGCTGGCGATCCGAATGACCGCAAATCTACTAGTGGCTTTGCTGTGTTTTTGGACAGTAATCTTATATCTTGGGTTTGTCGGAAGCAACGGACTGTGGCACGCTCTTCGACTGAAGCAGAATACAAGGGACTCGCTGATGTATCTGCAGAAGTTACATGGCTCGTTTCTCTGTTACATGAAATCGGCATCCCGCCTGCGTCTCCTCCTCGACTATGGCGTGATAATTTGGGAGCTACTTATTTATGTGCCAATCCAGTGTTTCATGCCCTCACGAAGCACATTGAGATTGACTATCATTTTATTCGCGATAAAGTAGCCAAAAAGGAGTTAGAAGTGCACTTTATTTCAACCAAGGATCAACTAGCGGATATTTTCACAAAGTCTCTGTCGTCTCTTCGTTTTAACTCTCTCCGTGACTAGAGATGACCACGGTTCGGTTCAAATCGTAGGTTCGAACCGGAACCGTGACTGTGCAAACCGGAACCGTTCAAGGTTCCGGTTCCGGTTCTTAACCGGAACCTATAAGGTTCCGGTTAAGGTTTGTAAAATCTTGGAACCGGAACCGGCGGTTCCGGTTTCAAACCGAAAAAAATTAAATATTATAGTGTATTTTTTAATTTTTTTTAATAATTCCGGTTAGAACCGGCGGTTCCAACCGGAACCGGAACCTTACTATAAGGTTCCGGTTCCGGTTTCGCCATCCACAGAACCGGAACCGGAACCGGCGATTCCGAATCGGAACCGGAACCGTGGTCACCCCTATCCGTGACAAGCTCAATGTTTTGGCTAGCCAACCTTGTGATTGAGGGAGAGTATTAGTACTATATTATTCATATTAGACTAGAACTATATTATTCGTGTTAGACTAAGATTTTATCTAGCATCTCTATATATTCACCCCTATACTTTCAGACATTATTATGGAATACAACACAATTATATTCTCATCATGTACCCATTTTCAGTGTTGTCCAGATCCCAACATAACAAATTGGATACATTCTCCAATTTGTAGTGTTACTTTAAAATTGATATTTTACTACTAAAATGTAAAATTTTACTGGAAATCCCAACAGAAAATTAAAAATGGATCAAACTTGAATTAATTGGCTTATACATTTGACATCAATAAGAAAAGAATAATTGATATTATTTATGGTAACATTGAGATATGTCATACAATTTATATTAAAATCTCTATAACATAATATATGCAATATAATAATCATAAATAATCATTTGATCGAAAACAAAACAATTGATTTTCTTTTTATGAAATAATATTTAATAGAAAAAAGAAATTGAATTTTAAAAATAAATTTCATTTGTGTGTGGGGGGTTTAGAGGGGAAGATTTACCCATTTTCAGTGTTGTTCTGATCCCAACCTGACAAATTGGATACATCATCCAACACTTTCCTCCATTTCTTCACCTTTTCTCCTTCTTTCTCAAACCTCTTTTCGTGTCCTTCAAAGGCTTCTCCATACTTTTCCTTCTGTTTCCTCACAGTCGACGGATCCACGCCATAGAAAATGGGAACAACCATTTGACCTTTCACCTCCATGATTTTCACTAGTTCCTCCAAACACCATGTGGAATCAGCATAGTGCTCGGAGAAGACGACCACCGCCATGGACGATTCTTCGATTGCCTTCTCAAGTGCGGGCGAGATGGACTTTCCCCTTTCCAGCTTCTCGTCGTCTTTGAAAGTGTAAATCCCTCTGTGCTGCATCGCACTGTAGAGATGGTCAACGAAGTTCTTGCGGACGTCTTTCTCCTCTGAAACTCAAGAAAACATCATAGGAGGAAACACATGAAGACACAAAATAAGGTGTTTCCATTGCAATGGTGTAGAGAGATAGATAATGATGAAGAAAGGAAAACTCTTTGGTTTAAAGGTTTAATTACCAGAGAGGAGACATTTCCACGAATGTGAACCTTTTCCATTATTTTCAAAGCGAGGAGATAAGACAAGTAAGAATTGACAACAGTTCCGGTTCAAGTACGGATGGAGTTCGGAACCAGCGGTTTAGGTTTAATAAATGGTGGACCAAGAACCGGAACCTTTAATCGATAGTTCCTATTGCATAGCTGGTTCTAACCAGATTTTTTTTGGTAAAATTCAATGTTCTATTTTAAAATCGTGCAAAATCAACCATTAATTTTTCATCTAGTTTTTTTTTTTTTTTTTTTTTTTTTTTTTTTTTTTTTTTTTTTTTTTTAAATAGTTATATTAAATATTTAAATTTAATGTTAAACTAAAAAATAAAAAGGAAAAATTTCATTTTTGGTCTTCTAGCTATACCCATGGTATAAACTTAGTCCATGAATTATATGCGTGACTATTTTTAACTCCTAAGTTATGTTTGGAGTGGCAATTTTAGTCCTTAAAATACCAAATCTATCACTTTATTATGTGACAAATTGGTGGTAGAAATAATCCTCGAGGGGCTAAAATTGTCATTTTGTGCATAACTTAGGGGTTAAAGATGATCACGCATATAACTTAATGACTATGTTTGTACCACGAGTATAACTGAATGACAAAAAATGTATAATCGGGCAAGCGTGAACTCCCAAAGATTTTAAATAAAAAATTGTTTTTCCTTTCTTTCTAAATCTCTCTCAGTCAACTTTAAGAAATGGCAAATTATATTATGCACCGCGGTGCATAATCGATTATGCACCGCGCGTCTTTTTTTTAAATGAAAATTAACAGTGTTTGTTTCTGCCGTTTCGCACCCTTTTGCAAAATGTAACTCTGTTATTCAGTGTCATTTTGTATACACTGCAGTTTCAGTTGAACACAACTACAGTTTCATTTCGATATAACTATAGTTTCATTCGATATTTATAGACTCAAATATGTGAAAATGTTATTTAATTTTATTTTATATACACTATAATTTCATTAAAACACAACTACATGATCATTTTGATATAATTACAGCTTCATTGTACAATATACACTCAAATATGTGAAATGTTATTCAGTTTCAGTTTATATACACTGCAGTTTCATTTCACTATAACTACAGTATCATTTTGATATAACTGCAGTGTCGGTTTGGATATACTGTAGTGTCAGTTAGTGTTTAATACACCAAACAAGCGGACTCCGTTAACTCTAACGGCGGACCGTTTCTTTACTTAAAGAAACGACGTCGTTTTTGACTGCGGTGCACATGCACCGCGGTCTATAATATAACGACTGTTAAGAAATAAACAAGGCTTATTTATATAGCCTAGTTTGGGCCCAAAAGTCCTAGCCTTTAGAAAGTCTAAAATTACTCAATATTGAATTAATTCATTAATCAGCTACTAATTTATTAATTCGATCAATATCGATAACTCATAATCAATTTCTTTTAAAGTTCTCAGCATTACCACGGATCATTAATGTGTGACTTCGATTCATAATCAAACTAGCAACGAGTAATATTTAATAACTCATTATTAAATAACTCATAAGTTATGATGAGTGTCACATAACATTATGTTATGATTACCTAGTTGACAATGAAATATATATATATATATATATATATATATATATATATATATATATATATATATATATAAAAGCTTTGGATCCAGTGAGACTCTTATGATGCATGAGATCATGAGATCTCATCATATCCATTGATTCATTCCCCATGAATGATTAAGATTAGAAGAGAATCTTAAAGTAATTAAGGATATATTGAAATCAGAAGGATAAAAAAGTAATTGTAGTGTTTTTGTTTAATTATGGATAGAATGGAATTGAAATTTTTAGCATTATATTAGGGAGAATAATTATTTTTACAGCTTGTTTAACATATACTGAGCGTGAAGAAGACTTGGGGAACAACCGTCCGTGAAGAAGAGCTAAAGCGACCAATGAGAAGATTTCACGAATAGCTTGTAACAACACTGGTATGCGCATCTATGTGTGAAGGCGTGTGCAAATGTTGAGAATTTCGAACGTGTGTGCATTTTTTATCGTCTCGGTGTTTTTTACGTCTTTTTTTTTCTATTTTTATTTTTATTTTTGCTGTGTGCGTGAGTTAATGTTTGCGGTTTTGATTTGAAAGAAAAACTATTTAAAGTGTACAATGTCTGTTTTTTTTTTTTTTTCTTTTTTTTTTATCCCTGACCTGTGGTATAGTTCACGGTAGTGTGTGCATATTCGTGCTGTGGGGTGGTGTAATTGAATGTATGGTTTATTTATTTATTTATTTTTTTAAAAAAACTATAAGTCGAAATTAGTATTTGGTGTGAGCGTGAATTCATGTTGGTGGGTCACAGTGTAAAACAAAAGAGATTCAAAGAGTAAAACAACTAGTGTTTTTTTTTTTTTTTTAAAACGTACATTGATATAGATACAACGGTACTATGTGCATAGAAATGATATGGCGTGTGTGAATTGATGTAATGGGGTCTTTTTTGAGTTTGTATATCGGAGAAAAGTATTTGGTGTTTGTGTTATTTCATAATTTCTGTTTGAGTTTAAATGAAAAAACGCTAAGGGCAGTACTGTTTATTTGGTTTTTTGTGCTCCAGCGTAGTAAATTACTAAGGTTTGTGCGTGCAAATGCAACACCTTAGTGTGTGCGAATAAGTTCTGTGGCGGGTGCGAAGTGAATGGGATTGTTTTTGTTTTTTTTTTTATTTTTTTTTTAAAACTTGAAATCAGTATTTGGCATCTTCGTCAAAACATGTTGGGGGTTGGTTTGTAAATAAAAAGTTTTAAAGAGTAAAACGGATTGTGTTTTCCTGAATTTTTGGATGATGAACAGGGGTATGTATTACGGTTGTATGTGCGTATAAATGATATGGTGCTTGCAAATTGAAAGAATGGGGTCTTTTTGTGTTTTTATATCCGCTAAAAGTGTTTGCAATTTTGGTTTGAGAATTAAGAAAAAAAAATTGGGATAGTATAGTTTATTTGGTTTGTTTTGTACCAGCATTTGATGTGAATAAGGTTTGTGCCATCAAATGCAACAGAAAAAATGTGTGCGTATGAGCGTTATGGCGTGTGCAAAGTGAATGTAATGGTTTTTTTTTTTTTTTTTTAAAACCTGAGATTAGTATTTCTTGTGAACAACAACACATGTTGGTGGGTTGGTTTGTAAAGTAAAAGTTTTAAATAGTAAAACAGATTTTTTTTTTATTTGTTGCGCACAAGAATTGTAAGTGATATGATGTGTGTGCGTATGAGTGTTGTGGCGTGTGCAAAGTGAATGTAATGGTTTTTTTTTTTTTTTTTTTTGTTTGTTTTTTTTTGTTTGTTTTTTTAAACTCGAAATTAGTATTTCTTATGAACGACAACACATGTTGGTGGGTTGGTTTGTAAAGTAAAAGTTTTTAAATATTAAAACAGACTTTGTTTTTTTTTTTTTTTATTTGTTGCGCACAAGAATTGTAAGTGATGTGTATGCGTCGATGTGCAATAGCGTGTGCAAGATATTAAGATGCGAGTTTGGCATGACGGTGTTATAGTAATAATTCCATTTTTTAAAATTCTTGGTAGTTAAACTAAGCGTGAATTGTAATATACGATATTTGTATTTTGTATGCAGTGCAGTACCCATTGAAGGAAATGATGACAAACAAGAATGTGTTATGGATGTATCCTCTAATGGTACGAAGTATAGTTTACTTGATGTGTGCGTAACCACATCTTGGCGTGTGCATAACGCTGAAGGGATGCGAAGCCAAGAAAGAAACATGTTTGACAATTAAGTGTACCGCACACACACTCAACACCTATATCACACACTTTGTTTTTATAAGTAATTGCAAATGTAATGGACCGAAAAATTTTCATTTAAATCAAAATAAAGACGAACTGCTATGACATATTTAAAAAATAATATGGCAATTCAGAAAGAACAATATACTCCTAAGTTTCAAAATTAAGAACAATAATAAATTTTTAATGAGGTTGTTTTTATTTAATTCATGACATATCTGTGTGCATTCATGCGATTGTTTTTATTTAATTAAAAAAGATTATACAAGAACTTGGCTTTGTGTTTTTTTCCCCTAACCCAATTACATTCACAGATTTCGGTGGGCATGCATAAAGCTCTTCATTTGGACAACTAAATGCTTTGGGGATGTACAAATCTTCATCGTTGGGAAGATATCTACATCATCCTCGCTCATCGGGCCCATCTTCTAGATCATCCAAAGTCGGATCTCCTTGAGCTTGAGGAGACACCACGACGGTGGGAACTAGCGGGTCTACTTGGGCAGTAGGCGACGCTACACCAAGGGGGCTTGTAATCTATAATACATTTGAGACACAACAATAATACAGAATACAACAGGGAACAAAAACTGGATCATTTGATATCTTCAAGCGTGTAATCACTTTCCTATAAGCTTTAAATCTCCCTCTATAAAAGCAACAAGGTTCAAGATTTAATCTTATGGGATACAAGAAGATGAATGAAATTCTCAAGTTGCTTTGTTTGAGAATTTCCTGTAGAACTGTAGGTCTGTGAAGTATCTTGATTCCTGCAAAATAATTGCTTGTAAAAAATGCATCTGTTAACTTTTCTCTGTTTAATGCAAATTTTTGCATCTATGTTTTTCAGATGATTCTCCAGATTTTGTAGATGTAAAAATCAGTTTGGAGAAGTTTACATGGAAGCTAATTATTTAAATTTAAAACTTAACTTCCAATAAGATAAAATCTTATCTAAAATACATGGGAAAAGATAATTACATATAAAATATATGTAACTAATCAAAGTATGAACTTTCATATGCATACAATATTATTAAATAAATAATATCAA